ACGGTTCTTCATTTGCCATACAGCATCATGAGAAGTTTTGGCCATGCTTCTTTGGAAATTAATAAGGCGGACGATGGTATTCTGTTTTTGCACCTGGATTTTGTACTCAATACCCTTTGCTTACTGAGATTTGCCTTATGGCATAAAGAGTTCTGCCACCTCTTAATACTACGGGCTTGCTATCTGCCAAATTCAGGTTTTTTCACGCCTTCAGGGTCAAAAATTCCTCTGCCGTACCTCACCTTTATAAGAGGTTTCTTCCGTTGATCATTGCATGTTCTGCGCGAATTGGTCAGTGAATCTGAATCTATAAATCTATGAATCTAAAGCATTATATAGTCTGAAGTTATAATATATTATGCTGTCATTACTGTTTCATTGTGTTTTTGCATTATTTAAAGTTGCATATCATATTCGCCATTTTTAACTATTGAATCACGATGTTTTGTTTTCAGTTGAACAAAATGTATGAACAGGTGATGAAATGCATCAGAGAATCCGCTCCTTTAGAAAGCACGGTTAATCGCCTAAATACGCTGAAAGGTCTCCATGAACAAGGTATATAAAGGTACTTTACAGTTTTATGCTGATCTTTTCGGTTTAAGCTGTGCAGTTCGCTGAGTATCTTACCTATTTGGACGGCCTGCAGCAAGAAATTAAAGAAACCTTGGACAGAGACGCTAACCTCTTTCACGAGGTAATATTGTGTTCTATTCGATGTTTTATTTGCACCTATCGTTTAGTTCATTCCTTATGTACTAACTTTTAAGTAAGAATCGTTCGTTCATTTGTCTTAGTTCATTTTGCTTCAAATGTTGTTTGCAGTGAACCATACTTTTTCTATTTGTAGCTGTTAAGTTTAGTTTAACTGTTCATAATTTGTTTAGTCAAGACGGATTTGTCTTGACTAAGTACAAGAGTTGACTTTGTCCTTAGTCTTCAAGATCTGCAGGGAGAAAATCCCTGATCTTCCGTTGACCTTCTGTAGCATGCTTTTATTGCTGAAGGTTCGCCTGTTGCACTCGAACTGTCTAAATTTTCTTGCTTGTTTCTTTGTTGACTTAGCGAAATTGTGAATTTTAGGCAGATGACACTTTTTCTATGAATATGAAGCTGATCAAAAATAAATGCGAAGAAATAGAGAAAAGAT